TGTAAAATGGGAGGCCTTTAATGAATATTTTCAGCTCACACAAAAGATTTTTTAAAATGAAATTCTTTTTAGTATTTTTCTGTATTCAGCAAGCTCTTTGTTGTCTCCCTCACCCGAATAGTACCAGAGACAATTTTCACGTAGAGATTCCTGCCTGTGCTGAGCAGTTTCCATCCGCTGGCAGTTTCAGCCGCTATGAGCTGCATCTGTTTGTGCTGCATCTGTTTGTGCGGCTAGGGAAACGTTATTACCAGGATGGCACATTTTGGTTAAGCCCCTTTTCTTGGTTTACATTCTGCTTATGTGAACAGCTTTACAGGATACTGTGAACGGTCGTCTGCTTTGTGCTGCTCTGAGTTGAACCTTGTTGACTTTCAACGTCCTTTTTGGGGCTGGAGCAGTTCTGTGAGGACGGTGCCATAGAAGCCAAAGGAGAACCAAATACAATACAAACCTGTTGTGTCTTCAGAGGAAACCGTTATGAAAGGGGCAGAGTCAGGGGTCTGATGAAGGCAGTTTTATAATCACCTGATATAATGGAGGAAGAGTTTTTGCAAGAATGCAATTTTTAACTTCCTGGTTTCCCACCAGTTCTTTAAAATAGCATTTCCTTAACTGTTACTTTTGGTACCTTTTATCCATCCAGAATGAAAGAAAGACAGTCAAAATGATGTATCAGAAAAAGAAATTTCGTTTTGGGTACATCCCTGACATGAAGATCCGTGTTTTAGAGCTGCCCTATGATGGAAAAGAACTGAGTATGATCATCCTGTTACCTGATGACATCGAAGATGACTCCACTGGGCTGCAGCAGGTGACCCATCTGAGCCAATGCAGTTACTTAGTGGAGAAGTTCAGCCGTTCAAAACTAAAGCTTTAAGGAACCCATGTTCTCAGAGCCCTAGGTTTATCAGGCTTATTTTTAGACAATGCTCTGTTTGCACTGCAATAAAGAATATGTGCATGTGCTGCATCAAGAGGAGAAGTTGTCTTCTGGTTTTGTAGCTTGTGTTCATTTGGCTTCCTGAACAGAACCATGAGGGAGACTGAGAGAACAAAGTTAACTACGAGAATTAACTTGCCTTGCTTACCTGTTTTTTTGATGACAGAACTTTTCTTCCGTTACCTTTCAAAGTCTTTATTTTCTTAGCCTTAAAGACTGTTTTCCATTAAATGACCAGGAACACATCGGCTTCTTTGGGCTCTCTGATGATTATTTTTGTTACTTGGTTTTAGTTCTGTAATTCCAGTTCGTTAGGTTAAACAGTGAGAATGACTGCGTTTCGTTGCTGTCGGTGCATCTTTGTCCCTTGCGTACATCGCAGCAAGAAGCAAACGTCAGCATAACTTTGTAAAGCGAAAACTGCACCGACTGCACTTAATTTTAATACATCTGGTTGATCTATATGGAGCTAAGATACAGCTGCGGTCATTTTTGCGTCGTTGCTGTACAGTTGTATAGAGCTCTATAAAGCCTGGTAAAGGTTACTGTAACTGAAATACTTCTGCACTGGTGATATGTGATGATATCTGTCTGTTTTTAATTGTAGCTGGAAAAGCAGCTTACCTTAGAGAAGCTCCAGGAATGGACGTGTCCAGAGCATCTGTATTCCACTGACGTTCATGTGCGTTTGCCAAAGTTTAAGCTAGAAGAAAGCTACGACCTTAAATCCGATTTAGCCGCTCTGGGCTTGTTGGATGTGTTTGACGGTGGCAAGGCCGACTTGTCGGGAATGTCAGGGGCACGCGACCTCTTTCTCTCTAAAATTGTCCACAAGGCTTTTGTAGAAGTGAATGAGGAAGGCACCGAAGCTGCAGCTGCCACTGCTGGCTTCGTTATGCTCTGCATGCTTGTGGAAGAGGATTTCCATGCTGACCATCCCTTCCTTTTCTTTATTCGCCACAACCCAACGCAAAGCATTCTTTTCCTGGGCAGATACGCTTCTCCATAAAAGAGAACTTAGCACCTGCAGATCAGTTCCTGCTGTAGTCAAGGAACGCTTTGCTGCCCAATGAGTTGGATTTTGAATTAGAAAGTTAATGCTCCTGGCCTTAAATGCCAATAACTTGACTGTGATTCTGCCTTTCCTGTTAAACCAATCCCAGAAAACTGAGGAGTAATTTATTTTTCCTTCTTGAGATTGACATCATCTTTAATAACTAGGAAAATCTTAACTGTAGGCAGAAGAAATCTTTTGAAATTGGACTAAAAGTAGAAATACTCTTGCAAGAAGCTTGTCTTTTAAAGCACAGGATCACCTTGCACACATCCTATGCTTGTGGGTTTCTCTGTGTGGGCAGACCCCTGTTCTGATAACTTAGAATGATCCAGTCATTCCGTATGCCTGTCTGCCAGGGTGTTCTTGCAAAGCTATTCCTCCCCTAAAGTTTTTCTTTTCAAAGATATTTTAGTAAAATACTTGTAGGCACCAAAAGGCACGTTCCCGAACAGCTGAGTTTACCCAGTTCCGTCATGAACTAGAAGGTCAGATAACATTTGTTTAGATACATCTATTAATAGAGAAAGGATTAAGCTGTTTAGACAAAAGTAACCCCTTCCAGTCATTAGTGAGAAAACTCGCAGTACAGCTTTTGAATGAGGGGAAGAAGAAATCAATAACTTCTGGTGAAGTGTTTGAAGAGGATTTTAAAATTTATAGTCTGGTGCTGTTTTAGTTACGGTAAATGCATCGAGGCTTAGAGATTTTAAGTGCTTGAAGAGAATGGGTGCCTTTCTGCAAGTTCAGAAGCTTCCAGCATGACCTTAGATCCTGGCCAGAACCTACGTGATCCTCAAAAAGTACTTCAGCTCACCAGAGGATGACTGTGTATAATCTGCAATAAATACCTGATGTGTCTCTTTACGTGCAAGTATTCAGCACTTGCTGAGCTGACTTCCACTGCCTCTTTATACAGAAACCTTCTGCGCCGTCCAACAGCCCTATGCCTGGGAGCCACTGTAACTACATTCTGTTCGTGTTCTGTGTTTATTTCTGGAGGGTATTTGCTTGTATCGTGTATCTCGGGTACTGTGATGTTTACCTGTACGACCTCTGTTCCCTGTGGGGTATGTAATTTCTGTACTTGCCAATTATACTAGTTTTGTCTTTAAGCAACAAAGGGAGCAGGGGGAGAGTAACTGTTTATGTGAAACGACACAAGCACTTGCTCTGCACGTCAGTAAAAGGTGTCTCTGTGTGTTAGCAGTGCCTCAGGTGCAAAGGCTCTGGTAAATTTGTGAAGCAGAGCATGTGCTACAGACTGCAGGTGTGAACGTATTTCTGTGCTGAATGCTTTGCAAAACCCATGCTTTGCAAATAAGTGAGAAAAATATTAGCATGAAAACCGTGTAAACATTTGGAACGGTTTGAGGTTCCATTACTTCTGCCTTTTAGCAACTAAAGCTTCCGCTGCCGTAGATGGGTTTTGACAAAGTAAGGCTCAAACCCTCCGTGGTAATTAAATCCTTATCTTTGTGTGCTTACACTCAGTCAATTCAAGCAAGATCTATTACATCTGAAGGCTTTTAGGGCTGTAATTACCAGGACATCAGAAGAAAGATAAAACCTTGCATAATAGTAGAAATCAGCATCACTTTATGAGGAGTCTCCTGTGCTTCTTTATTGCTTGAGTCTCAGTATTCAGTAATTATCATAGAATCACAGAATGGCCTAGGCT